GTCCAGATAAATTCCTATTTATTTCATTGTAGTTGCCAAAGAAGAACTCTGTCATTGTTATTTTTCACGTTCGAATAATTATTATTATAACACCTCTAGGTATACCGCTGGGTATACCCTCTAATACCTTTACAGCGCGAACCAGGTCATAAAATGCTAATGAGGGAAACGGTTCGTTCCTAGGCAATGAATAGTACATGTGCATAGACAAAAATATTTCAATTCGACCAAGAGTCGTTACTTTTAATTTGAGCATCCCTGTACATACATCCATATTTCCAAGCAAAAATAAGGAAATTATCCATAACTCGACAACGCCGCAATCGATTTCGATTTTTTTTTCAGCGATAAAAAGGCGAAAGATGTCGGAATGAATTTTTGAATTAAAATATAGGGTGTTTCATTTGAAAAATTCTGATGAATGTCATCTGAATCTTGCAAAATTTTGAATGCAAAATTGAGCACCCTGAAGAACATGTCGCAAAATTACTGGATTGGTATACGTGGGACCTTGCTTTCGCCGCATGCCAAAAATATTTCCAAAATTTGAATAAATGAATATACCATGCCCAATTCAACATGACTCTTCAATAATGGTAAAAATAGATTTATCAATTATAACTTGGCAACTCCGTAACCGATTTAAATTTTTTTTACAGCGATTTAAAGGTGAACCTCGGCGGAATTCATTCCGAATAAACAATACTGGGTGTTCCATTTAAAAAAACTCTTCTTCGAGTTGCCCTGCTTTTATAAAACACCCAGTAATGTTGAAAATATTTTTGAAATGAGCAACTTTAGTAACTAAAAAAGTTTTTCCCCAAAGTTTTTCTCTATAGGTTATGGCTTTCGAGATATCGAAGAATTACGCACTAAATGGACACTATATAGTCGCCCTGACGATGGAAATATACATTTCCGAAAGCTCTGACAAACTGTAACGAGTTCACCTCTACTTTGCTGCAATCCCCACTAGCAAGCTAGTTCATCTCTATTTTTTTTTCTATTCTAAAAACAAGAGAAACAAATCCTTATGCATTCCTGAAACTTGCAATTTTTATTCCATTAAACCAACTTTCTGTCTCTTACCTTCTAAGATAGTTATAGTTATAGCAATTAGTTGTGGGACAACGAAATGTGGGCCACCCTGTATAAAACTATAGATTTTGGCTCCGGAATACAGGAAGAAACAAAAATTATCACGAATGTTGAGAATGACGTTATAATAATCAATTATTAGTGTAAATATAAACAGTCATGGCAAAGTTCTTGAATAAAAAACTAATACATGAAATTGAAATAGAAATTGAAATTCAACAATGAATCCGATAAAACTATTCAAACTATTCAAGCATGTTTTCAGTGAAACCCGAAAGAAAGGCATTGATTCAAAAGTGAAGTTCACCAGGTATTTGTAGCTGTTCAAAGTAATATCAATTATTTATCTTCTTCAAAGAATGTGAAAAAAAATGAGTATCTATAATACCATGATCCTATTAAAACCAATATGGACAGCCCTTTTTTATCTTCAGTACGACACTGACATTAGGCTTCCTATTATAATACATCGGAAAGTTGGCGAGTGCCACAATAAAATAGGCAATACTTCGCACTGAACACCTGGACTAGCAGCACCCTTCTCTACTGACTATGCACCCCTATTATCGCAGAACTTGATTAGTTTGCGCTATACACTTTCATTTGTCCCCCATACTTTATGTAGGACTGCCTGCCTACAGGGCAATACCATGGCAATACCATATAGTGAAACAACGATGAGGAGGAGGTGATGGAGATACAGCCTTATCATTTGTAAATAAGGGATGATTCTTTGGGAGATTTTAAGACGAAAAATTCATACAAACGTTCGAAAATGCATGGTTTAAAAAAAATGTTCTTCGTCAATCTGATTATATCTATAAATAGGTACTATTACGAATATTATTGTCAAATTTCAAGGAACCTGGGCAGATTTCCACACTATTCACGAAAAAAGTGTTCAAAACTTTGCATTTCCGGACGTACAGCCTATGCATATGAAGTTTTCGTCTTCGAAACACACAGTATGACGATTCGCAGAAAGTTCAGAGAATAATCAGCTATTCTTTGCTAGAGAGATATTTTTTAATTTTCAACATCAATGGCATATTATATAAACATTATAGATATGATATAATTGTTTCCTTTCGACACAACAAAGTGTATATCTAGAGTGGAACATTATCACCCAATAAAAAATAATATCTTCAATACCTGGACATGGCATTTCTGAGGTATTATTCAGCTGGCATTCTTGAATAGGTACCTTGTTCACAAATAAGCATATTTATAATTAAATCATAAATATAAACAGATCGAATAACGTCTGTGGTCATAACAGATCATCATAAGTGTGCGCTTTGCGATTGGCTCAAGAATCAAAAAATTATCATTGACATCTCGTTCGTAGGGCACGAATAAAGGTACTACAGTCATATGGCATTCAAATCTTGTTTTTTCTAATGATTCAGGTATCACCGAAGGATTAAGTATTACCATTGACTATGAAAAAATATTGTCAAATCACATTAGACAATGAAGAGGTAATTATCGAGGACCCTGAGTACGGTCCTATATATATCCAATAGTACACATACCCCCAGCGAGATTTTCGAATAGAGTCAGCTGTTGTCAGTTTTCACAGACTTATAAAAACAGAATCGTCTCATTATGAACCATTCCTTATTCCTTGTTTGCGAGTAGCCTGATATTGAAAATGAAATAATGAATAAAAAGTGTATACTTAGCAGAGGAATGAAATCAGATAGACCAATGAAAAATAAGTGTACAACTTCACTGCTTCCAATTTATTATTGTGAAATCACCACCATGCAATGAGTCCTGTGGGCCAGTTCAAAAAGAAAGGAGAAAATTGGAATATTAAAGCCTTCTTCTGTAGACTTTTTTTTCACAAGGTGATGTAGATCTACATCGAAATCGGATTGTTTTTGGCCGTAAAAATCATCCTTATTTCATCCGTCCCTGTATACGGTTTACATAATCCTTATTTTCGTATGAATGATTCAAAATGGGACCCGACCCGTTTAATTACAAAAAGTAAGCGAATTTTGTGAAGTTCATGCACATTTCTTGAGAGGTAGAGATATAATATACCTACTACTCATATTATATGTTTTACTGATCATAAGCATCACAATACTATTCTGCCACATCATTCCCAAATGCTACCTATTCATAATAATTGCTGCACATTTGGGGCAAAGATTAGGTGTCAAGATTCAGAGAATGACAGTAAATGTGGAAGGCATGATGAAAATTGAATGGATCGGTAAACCATAAACCAGTAACAGTGGCGTAACTTCATATTTTGCCCCCCCCCTCTCCAAAATCATTTAGGGCCCCCTCGAGACGAACCTTTCCAGTCAGAAGTCCCTTCATTCCACGAACTATTAGTTATATATTGAATAACCAACAAGCTTCACAATACGCTTTATTTTCTTCCGGTGAATAACACAACCATTTTCTTGGAATAATTTTCCCAGTATGACTTTACTGTGAACAATGAAAATTAGAGAAACTCCTCCTTTGGAAAATTTATATCTGGTTGAGACGGGCCATCACGAACAATAAATTATTTTTATCGTGTTGTTCAATTCTCGGCCACTGAAATTGCCTTTATCACAAGGAAATGATTCTTTGATTAATACATCCAGTAATGAATCATCTGACTCAGTTCCATCTCCGGAAGTTATCGCATTCAAGTCAGGTATGGGCTCCTCGTGGATTCAAGATATAATACTTTTTATATTCACACCATCTGTACTTACAGTTTCGAATGCAGTAGTAGCAGAAGTCTCATTTGCTAAGTAAAAATTTGATATTTTTTCCATACACCTTCATTTCTCTTCTCCAAACTATTTTCAATACAAATTGTCTCTGACAAGCTAGTGAATATTTCTTTTAGGCTCTCTGATAGGAAAATTCTTTGAACGCAGACATTTTGGGGCAATTCATCTGATTTGTCCCTACTATACAGGCGTGTATTGAAATAAAATTCATATTCTTATTTTACAGAAACGAGGAGAGAAAATCCCAAAAAATCTGGAATAATGATTTTTGTTCCATAATGATTGCAGAGTCAACATCCATTCCTGTTTCAATCATCATACTGCTACACCTTGATGGACATTCATCATAATATTCAACTGTATTATCCGAAACAGTAGTAGTATTCGTAAAGAAAGTGATAATCTTGGAAATTTTACACTTCTCATCTTCTAACTTTTGTTTCCTTCTTCTCTTTGAAGCACAACTAGTTTAAATCAAGTTCTCCATTTGAAATGATTGGCTTGTATCGTTGATTTCATCACCCTGGACCTACACTGAAAAAAACATGCCTGCACTATGGAGCACTGCAGAAATGGAAAAATGATTTCATTATTGACAAATATTCATGTTTCAACCAATTTGGCTGAGTCCTTGCTCTGGTTGGTGGACCCAGGCCCCCAGGGCCCCCTCTGAGGAACGGGCCCCACGCAACCGCGGGGTTTCGCGGTATAATAGTTACGCCACTGACCAGTCAATTCAATAATTCCAAAAATATGATTCTCAAACCAAACAATTTTATGAAAGTGAAAGGACCCGAACAATATAATCATAATAAACGAATCGAACAAAAATCGCCATAAAACCAATAATTTCCATTGTCCTCGTATAAATCACACACTCAAAAAATATCATTGGAATTATCAGTTCTCATGTAGGTATAGGTATATCGATGAATTTGCCGCTACGCTGAACATGTAGTTTCCTACAGTCGCTCATCATATTTATCTTCGAAAAAAAAAAGAGCTAGCAGCGGTCCGATTAGATCGCGCTTTTGTTCCGAACAGATACCGGGGGTTAGGCAGGGGTAGGCCCGACCGGCGGCCAATCCGGGGGGCTCATTACGCGCTGAGACCGAGACAAACGGGAAACGGCAAACGGCGTACACACGACATACGACACTGCATTCGCATCGACACCGGTCATATGTGTAGCAGTAGCAGTAGCATCGCGCGTGCATCCATATCTCTTAACCCTTAGCGCTCAACTCGGTCCCTTGTGGGTCTCCAGCCAGCAGCCGAACAGCTGTAGCTCTAGAGAAAATCTAAATTTAGTCCGCGGTGGTTAGTAAAGTCAGTTGGATTCGAGTCTCTGTGATACACGTGCTCAGACTTCTCCGCGTCGGTCGTGGTGTCTTCAGCCTTTGGCGCGACTTTATGTGCAAAACGGTCCTACCGGCGTACCTATGCGTGATCGTCGCAGCACCTTTACCAAAGAGTACATAAACAACATCTTCAACCCGCTCACGAGACCCACGCGACCCACGTCCAGGCCTACAGACACTCACCACGCTCGCGTTGCTGTCGCTGCTGAAGAGCAACGCTTGGCGAACCAAGAGGCGATAGAAGAGCACGCGAAGATAATGTTGATGCCGGCCTCGAGTGAGACGGACTCCTTGGTGGGCAGCCTGGGCAGTCTGCAAGGAGTGCTGAGCTCGGCGGGGTCCCTCAACGGGTCTGGCGTCCAGAATAAGGACACCACGTGGACCAAGCTCTTCGTCGGAGGGCTGCCGTACCACACCAGCGACAAGTCGCTGCGAGACCACTTTGCTGTGTATGGGGACATCGAGGAGGCTGTGGTTATAACTGATAGGCAGACGGGGAAAAGTAGAGGATATGGATTTGTAAGTGGGCTTCAATAACATTCGTGATATTCTGTCACTCGATATGCACCTTGTATCGCTTTGTTGTCTCAAGGTAGCATGTTTTTTTATTGCTATTCATCCTTTTCAATGAGAATGACAATCGCAGATAACTACTTCAAAGGCAGAATATTCGGCTGACTTCCACCTGAATTTCAACTTGTTCGTATTCATGTTGACTCATGATTTATCTGATGAATTGGAAAAATGTATGACTCGTTCGGATAACAAAGTGTTTAATACAACTGTCCCCAAAGAGGTTTCTCACTAGGATTTTATAGATCACTCTTGGTTATTGGAAGAATTTAGATACCTGAATTCAATCTGGATTTATTACGGATTTATTACGATCTCGGGTATGGATGTATCCTATTCAGAAATCTACTGATATTTTTTTATCAAAATCCAACGTTACTGATTGACTCTGATATTAGCTCCGAGTTCAATGTTGGTTTCATATATATCTGTGCCACATGAGCTTCTCCGTATTTGGAAATATTCAAACTGGTTGATTGAAAATCTCGAGAGTTATTTTTGAATAAGTTCCTAATTTTCCTGGCACTGATTAAATAGCCAATTATGAAGCGATTGATTATGTTCTTCCCATCATCTAAATACATAGTTAATCTATTTACCAAAATTTTGCGATATTTTTCAATTTTTCATCAGATATTTCTCAAATGAATGAGCATTCATAAATAATATTGAACCTCAAATGCCGGGAAAGACCGTGAAGTAATTTTTATGAACGTGAGCTTGAAGTTTTATGTAGTTTTTTGTAACTACTTATTTCAATCGTCTACTCTTGAAGATATAATTTTTATCGGAAACAACCGTTGCTTCCATTGTTTACAAACCAATACGTAATAAACATGGTTAGAACAGATGTTACATGATCATATCATCCATCTCGTCATCCATGAAATTCGGAAGGGACCAGGGGATCCCTTTATCATTCACTGTTCACTTCGAAAGGGGCTTGAATAATTATTGCGTTTTGTTGTGAAATATTATATTTTCAATGATATTTGTAGCGGGTATCCTAGAAAGAATATATTATTCGAATATAATGATTATCCGGTGCACCAGATGAAGTTGATCATTATCAACGTACCTATGAGTAATTCAACGTAATACTTAATAACACAATGAAACGAAAATAGAACAGTTCACTCTTCGAATATAGCATCATTTTATACATTTGAATAGTATACATATAGGTAAACATAGGTAAAATGTGAATGTCCCATCGAGTAATAATGACATCATGAAAGATAAGTATTTCTCGTGATATAAGGTTCCTATTTCTGATGAATATCTTTGACTACACGTCCCGCTATACTTCTGCTATGAAGTGGTGAATAGTAAACAACACATCATATTCTGAAACATGTTTCTCCTAATAGTGATCGAAGGAATACACCAAGGTAGGTAGACCTGATGATATTGGTAGAGGAGGGAAAAGTCGTACTCTGTGACGTATGAATTGATGAATATGTGTGGGGAAAGTTATAGAATATAGATTTCCATAACTCCAAAGTGGGATTTTCTGGAATGACAACTACGCGATTCCTGATCGAGGTAGCCTGCCATGCGAATAATCATCAATTCTACTATGCAATCTTGTGATAGGTATACACATTCTTTTCCAATCTAGTTTCTGAAAGTTTTTCATTGGTAGGTATCAATTCGGTATCAATTTTATCGAGCCAGCGATTAAATTGAAATTACCTTTTGTTGGAGTTCGCCATAAATTCGTTCGTTGACATGGGTTTGTACTGTTACCAGACTCTGGATTAAATGGTCAATAATGAATCAAATTATTTTTGGAGGGAAGAGCTATGGTTTGTCATTTCGTCTATTTACACTCCTAATTATTATCGATTGACGGTTGATTGATTCCTTCTACTATTGCAAACTGCTCTGATAACATCATTTTCATAATTTAGACAGTAAATATTTTTGTCGAAGTCCATTTTTCTGAATATTACCTGATGGACAAATGATGCATTGATTTTTTGCTCACACTACTTAGGTATGCCTACACGAAAAAATTCCTCCTCGACTCTTGCTGAAGTTTGGTGTCCAATAAATCAATGAAATTTTGGAACGAATTTACCTCTTAGACCAAAGTGAGGTTACGCCATTGATTTCTTCCACAGTTGGCACCTCCGTTGGCACTGTCTCTATCACACTTCTCGATTTTATAATCGAACGTTCGTTTTATTACTCTCACAAGGTGACACATGGAAATAATTTGGGGAACCTTCCGAAGCCATAGACCATATATACAAAGTGTCAGTCCCCATGTACCGTTCAATACAATGAACCATGGACAGCTGTACGTCTAAATAGCCACCCCTCATTATTCACCATAAAATAACAATGCAAGCTGCTGCTAGCTTTAGAGCAGGGCATATGTTTTATTTTTTAATTTTTAGGTCACTACTAGAGGTTACTTATCACTGCTAAATCAGGGAAGATAAGACAACGTTAGCCTCGACATTAGCTCATTATCAAAGAAAGCGCCTGAAATTATTGGTTGAAATGTCCGATGAAAAAATTAAAAAGTGTATTTACTATAGTTACAAAAATGAAGGTACTACGTATATCGGTTATGATATTGTTATGGAGACTGAAGTATCTTCCAACCGAGTGCCATTAGAAGAACTTAAGTTGATACCAGTTCCCGAGGGGTAAATCTCCTTGGAAGTCTGGTGTACACTCCGTTGGTAGTCTTTGGAGGTCTTTGAAAGTCTTTGGAAATCTTTGGAAGTCTTTGGATATCTTTGGATGTCTTTGGATGTCTTTGGATGTCTTTGGAAGTCTTTGGATGTCTTTGGAAGTCTTGGAAGTCTTTGGGAGTCTTTGGGAGTCTTTGGATATCTTTGGATGTCTTTGGATATCTTTGGATATCTTTGGGAGTCTTTGGGAGTCATTGGAAGTCTTTGGAAGTCTTTGTTCATTGGAAGTCTGGTGGACACATTTTTCCTGGAGATTTACCCCTCGCCAGTTCCGCTTGAACCAGAAATTGAATATCCATGCGAATATGTCAACTTTTTGCTATTAGAGAAGTTGACATGTTCGCGAATGAATGAGTAAATCTTAAATAGTGGAAATTAACTCCTCCAATTCTTGAACATCAATGAAATGTCATTCACTTATTCGTTATTTTCTTCGTCAAACCCTTCTGAAATTTCTTAAATCTGAACCTCGATTTGAACCATAAAGAATCCGAGCTTTCAGAAACAAAAAAAATCACAGGTTTCATATCTCTTGAAACTTCAAAATCAATATTGCATTCATCAGATGTTATTAATTAGTTGCTAAACAAGACTTCTGTCTTATTTGTTCACCAGAATATTTGTGTGAAGAAACCAATGTCAGTGGCCACGTTTATATCATGTCTTGGTGAGCTGACTAATGACTATATTTTAACTAAATACTCTTGGTCAGTGTGGTATAAACTGACACTTGGTAACGTTACCAGCTTGGTTTGGTACCGAAATTTGTTGCGTACCAGACTAAAATAGTATGATGACCAAGAGGGTGTAAACACTTTGGTCTACTTTTGTATAGTCTTGACTTTAGTTGAGTGAAAGTGTCCGTTATTTCTTGAGTCTTCATAACAATATTTCATTCAAGTTCAGCTAATTTCGGATCCTACTGAAAGGTATTATTCATAATTAACGAATTTAAGTGGATTTCCACAACCTAACCACAAAAAAAAATCAAATCAAAACATAGTTGGTAACATTATAGTGCCTTGAATATCTCATCACGCTTATCACCACTGACATTTTCGAAATGTCATCATGTTCAGATTTGAAACGTCAATTCTGAAAATTGAATAGGCGTCACACCAGGGCGTCACCGCGAAAATGTTTCTTGTACGGTAACGTATTGTAAAAAAATCTAAGAATGATGATGGTTAACATTTATTTGACTTGCCCAAAGATGAAACGAAATTTCAAATGTTCGTTGAAGCTTCAAATTTCAATATTCCTTCCATGGAAATACATTCATTGACCTAATATTAATATAACAAGACAATGAGCATTATGTGCATTCGATGTTACGCCAATGTTAGGCTTTCAAATAATAATATGTTTCGAGCACTCGTTCAATGAAGGGGTACAACAGAAAAATGACATTCCATCTCTTATAAAACATATTTGTGTCTCGTGTTTTTTGTTCATCTGTTTAACAAGATGTGTGTCCAGTGTCCACACAGTGTCCACACTCTTAAAAGGGCGTAAAATGAGAAGTCGACTAGATGGTGTAAACATGCGTTAACGTCTGAATTTAGTTAGATCACCTTGGTGATCATATACCAAATATCCATAGGGTATAAACGTGGCCAGTCTATCAGGAAGAGCACTTTTAGATTGAACAATCCTCAAATTATTCCGTTCCCAACATTGTGTTTATCTGTTGTATGGTTTTAAAAACTAACTTGCTCACAATTACAAAACAAGTCTGAGAACTTGCAAATAGAATCAGAATTTACTTTTTGAATGTTAGTGCGATGTTGTAATGTTGGGTAAAATGACACCAGAGGTCAGCTACCATGATTGTGTCACTGATTAACAAAATTTTGTTGTATCAGAGACAAATTGTTTAGATGGGGATTGGGGACTATTAAATTATAAGGCAGAGGTAGTCTGGCAACAATGCTATTTCAGTAATCATCATTATGAACGCATTCGGAAATATTACCTGTACCTTTGTTCATAGCTATTGCTTGTATGTAACAATATTAAATATTTCATGAAAATAGGACAGCAAGATATATGGATAATATTGAGTTAATCTGCTAAGTGCTCATGAAGTGTATGAATTGTTTTTCTTATTGGATGATTATTCGAAATGACAAATTAGCGCTCCTTCGATAAACACTACCAAACGGATGATTCCAAGAGTGTTTCTGAATGATTACCATAAAGCAAATAGGAAAATCTTCCAACGCAGAATGAATGTATTTCCAATCCATATCGGCCATTACTTGATAATGCTATTGTTCTTTTCTGAAGTGATATTTATATTACGTATGTAGGTATATACCGATACCTTCTTTGTTGGCACCTCATACATACTTATGCGTCAGGATGAAATTGTAAACGATATTCCTTATCGCGTTCCCAGTCTATTCATTTGACTATCTTATCAGCAAGGAATACTTTTTTACTTGTCGGCGACATAAAATTGACTTGGGACTACTTTCATACCATTATGTTATGATACTGCAATAACCTAATAGGAAATAACAAAGAAAAGCATTAGGAAATAGAATTTTCAAGATTAAAATATTTTTCAGTGATTTCAGTGAATGATATTTCTTTCTAGCCTCTTGAATAAACAAGATGGAATATAGAAAGAGCAACACAATCTTCAAATAATTCATTTCTGTTTCAGGTGATAATGGGTGACCGAACATCAGCTGAAAGAGCCTGTAAGGACCCCAACCCTATTATAGATGGCCGCAAGGCGAATGTAAACTTAGCAATATTAGGAGCCAAACCAAGAGGAAATGTTCCAACTGGTGAGTTTTGAACTGAAAATCTTTCATTTTTTCATAAATTGAAGAGTTGTCGAAATAATACAGCTTTGTGTTCTGATGCTGATGCCCAAAATAATTCTGCGCCGCTTATATACCGGGTGTTTCAAATTCAGTATCAAGATTTTCTGGGGGGGTTATTTTTCAGAACAAAATAAGACTTCTTTTTCTCCTAAACAACCACATCATTACCGATCTACAGAGCGTTAAAATGTCAAGATGTTTTCGTTTTTTTCCTCATGGCTTTTTTAGTTTTCTAGATATTTAGATCAAATTCGAAACGTTATGTTTTAGGGTTCACATGTATTCACAGTATGCCAAGTGATTGTAAGAATCTACAGGGAGCCACTGTGGTGGATTTTGAAATACGAAATAAGTTCTTCATTCTGCATATGAACTTTCTTGTATTCTTGTCTTTTGTAATGTTTACGCATCTGCGACCGTTGTCGAAAAAAAACTTCTTGAATTTGCTAGATTAATTTAAAATTTTCAACAAAATGGTAAGAACCTATTATCACAATGAAAACAAAAAACGCCATATATTTAGTTTTTGATTTCAATTATTAGTTTCGAAACATTAACTGAAGACTAAAATGGTGCTGGAAAATTCCTGAAATCTTGATAATGAATTTTGAGACACCGTGTAAGTATACTTAAGCGTTTGCGCTATGAATAGTAGGAGAGCTTAGAGCCGATGTCATCAGAAATCAAAAAAGAATACACCACCAGAATACTTGCCGCTACTGTTCCGTTTTTTGCAATTAATACCTATATTGCACCACTCCATTCATCTCGCGTTTCATACGTGGTTGTCAACATGTCATTTTCTCACAAAAAATAATATTATTTAAATGCAATAACGTTCGGTTTCTTAATGAAGTTGAATTTAGTGAAATTTTCCAAAATTTTCAGATTCCCAATTATTATTCCAAATATCGTCAGAAACATACGTACGGATGTGGAAATCTATCTGCAATATATACGCAATCTCAGTGGGCAGTGACAATAAGCATGGCGTCCTATCGAGTGATTTCAATTATTTCAAAATAGATTGCGGGTGTTTTTTGTATTCATATTTATATGGATGTCATTGAAACTTCAGATCTGATGGTATATACATGATTTGATAAGTTTGAAATCATCATTAGTTTAATCAATCAACAATTTTTTGTTCCTGTGAGCCCTTCTTGTGCTTATAGAAATCCTTGAATAAAATTTGGGTAATCACTCATGAAAGTGAGAAATAGTATATTACATAACTAGACTGGACGTTTAGAACGAGCCTCAGAGCGGCGAATACAGAAACGAAACGAACGCAGGAAATGCACTTTCCTACACTATTTTACCTACGAACACGATTGTTTAAATTTATTTATTTGCTGTTAGGAATTATATTCAAGAGATTTTTTTGTGTTCTTGAAATGCATTCATAACAATGCTAGCTATAATGTATACTCTTTGAAATTATTTATTTATTGGATTACTTAATCACGATTCTGGATTGATTTAGATAACACTAAAATAAATACAACTTGGAACATCGATATTTTTTTCAAATATCTTCCTAACGACTGAACCGGCGATCATGAATATTTGCATAATTGAAGTACGTCAACTCATACATCTTTCAGGATAGGGAAGATTTCCCTACCACGAACTTTGCCACGTGTATTTGTATCTGAAAAATGTTCCAAATATCCCGTTCTACGGTACCGTACCTCAGATTCAGTCGCCCGTAAATATGGGGTGTGCCGTTTCAGAACCCAACCGATTTATGGAAATGCAATGTTGTAATTATTCGTGTAATCGAATTAATTTTATGCAAGACATCCGAAAGAGGTAAAAACCTCCCTCTGATGGATCCAGGTGTTCGGAATCGAGTATAGTTCAGCAAGCACGGGGCACGGGCCATACAGACATGGATTCCTAGTCACCCTTCTTCCGGCGAAATGCTCACCCGGACATCCGCACAATCGCACATGCCGCGCAACCATCGAACCGACAACTCGTTTAGTTATCGGAAACTACTTTTCACCCAGGTGAAGAGCTACTAGACCAGTGCTGAAGCCTTTGAACCCGATCGAAATTCGAGAGAAATATCACAAAGATGAGAGCGAGGATGAGAGGGAATAGTATATTACTTAATATGTGTTGTAAGAAGCATATTACGCACGAATGGAAAAGTAATTGCTTTATAACACGCATTACGTACTATACTTTACCTACTACCATATAGTACATCAAAAAAGTTTGGACAAATAGTCTGAATTATAATTCTTGACAGTTATGTCATCAGCTGTTGACGGTGATTACGCGATCACGACTGACGGAATAAACGAAAACTGTGCGTTGTGCTTACTGTACGCAAAGAGCTACTTACTGAGGCTCTATCTCGTGTGTTCTTGCCTACTTTCTATAGTGGCCGTAGATAAAATATCAAAATATCAAAAATCAGATCGCCCGTAATGTATACATTTCCAGCGATCTGAGGTCGGAGTATGGTATGGGATGAGTTTTCAAGGGTATCTCGATTTCCGCCAAAATTAGAAGCCCTATGGAGAAAAATTCGATGGCAAAGTTGTAGGCAATAATAAGATCTCCAACTTTTATATACATATTTTTCCAATGTAACCTCAAAATTAATGTAAAAAATTCGAATAACCAAATTTTTGGTTTTTTATTTGTCTTTCACAACAAAAAATATTTTTTAACGAAATTCAGTGGAAACTCACCTCTTCATGTCCCAATTACACTGTAATTTTTTGATTCAGATTTTTTCACATTATTTTGACTTGATATCGAAAAAGCACCCTAATTTTCAATCGAAAATTCTCGCTTCAAAATATCTGCTTTTTCAAAAAAGTCTATGGGATTCTCTCCATCGTGGAATAATGAATCATGCAGAGATCTACCAATTTTCTTCTAGATAATCGCCATTTATTTTGATAAAATGCTTTTGAAATTGTTTTGTTACGAGGGAAGTGTGAGATGTAAAAATGCATTGACATCAAGATTGGATACCAGTGGGTTGTGGATCGAAAGTATAATAATATTGATTATTGTGATCTATGTTTATTTTAACGAGATGAATCTTGTCATTTTTTGAAGAAAGAGATATAGGAGGGTAAGTTGGTTCCGGGTCAACCTGTAGAGTCATGCATGTGTAGGGTCATCTCGTGGATCCCTGATCCAATTGAAATTCTGAAAAACATTTCTCATCCAGTTAGCTCAGCTAGTTTCACTGACATATAATATCAGCGGTTTTGAAGAATCTTTCTTGTTTCAGGTTTTCCATTTCAAAGTGTGAGGGCAGGTGCTTACCAAACCCTTCTTCCCAGCCAGTATGGGTGAGTACAAAACAGTGGCTAAATTTGTGAAAGTCTCAACAGAAATCTTCTACACCACCAACAATAAAATCGTAATGAATTATTTCATATTTTCTAGCTACTTAAGTGTCTCATGATGCCAGAGTTGGTGATGAGTAAATCCATTGAATTGTATTGACATTTGGATGAGAAAGAGACGACTCGAAGTTATAAAATGTAAACAGTTAGTCCCTTCGATGAGTGTTTGTGAGTGTGCGTGTTACATTTTATTTTTTGATTAGTTATTGAGTTACACTATTTATTAAACAATTAGCAAGCGGTGATTGGCCGTTGGCGAAAGCCCCAGGTCTATATCTAAGGATATTCAACCCTATCAACACTTTCATATCACTAACAGACAGTACAGACACCAAACATGAATCAAAGGCATCGCCAGATTCTCCTCCCCCACCTCATTTCAGGCAAACACTTTGAAGCCAATTATCCATTTCATATCTATGTTTCAGGACGAACTTTGATTTTGATATCTCACATTCCGAGTTCAGACTATTGCTAAACCCTATACTCCGGAAATCTTATCACCTGTCGGTTATTTTCCAGTAGGTATCCATTGACTTGCTCAATAACAAATTCCTCTTAGACTAGGATCAAGACTAGTCTTTGAAACCATTACAGGTCAGTACAGTGTGTCCAGTTTTCGATGCTTTGCGTGATGTCTCAGTTATCTTTGAAGATGAAACCTCGCTGTTTTCGCGGTCCGGTGCCACTTTTTTGTGAAACTAAAGATGGCCCAATCAGATTTTGCATAACTGTTTCCGTTTATGCGATACAGGGCGATTTTGAAAACTTATACTTTTTGAACCCCCTCTATATCTACGAAGTTTCTCTGCGAAAATGTATAATTAAAATCCTATCCCATAGAGAATTTAACGCAGAATCCAGTGGAGCACTCAATTTTTTTTCAGGGTATGGTTTTAGAGATACGACTCTTCATGATTTTTCTCGAAGGAGCACCCTGTATTTTATTAGCTCATTAAATTCCTATTTTATCTCACCCCGAAATGATATATAACGTATTAGTATAATATTCTCAAAAATGCTCCAAAACCACTAAAACATTGAATTTTAATAGTGGGCTATGGATTTTTCATCAAAATTAGTTCCAATTGAAGGAATATTTCTTTTGATTCTTCCATGAAGAGGAAAAAACAATACCAATACTAATTAACTAACAAAACACAAAACTAAGGTTCCTGATAGCAAAAAATAAATAGTGATGAAAAGTTCATGATGTAGAATGAGCACCTTATTAATTATTTACCGAAAACAATTGAATTTCGACATTATTCAGTTACTTATCCATTGAATTGTTCAAATTGATGTCCATTTTCCATAACACACAATTGACACACTTTTTCATACAGTAAGAGGCGCAACAATCTTGAAGTACCTCGTGCAACAACAAAGGTAGTTTTCCAGGAATTACAAAGACATCCTTCAATGATTTTCAATGCATTGAGACGAATTGAGAAAGTGTGTGAGGAAAAGTGGACATCAATTTGAACAATTCAATGAATAAGTTACTGGATAATTTCGAAATTCAATTGTTTTGGTAAATATTTAATCAGGTGCTTATTCTATATTATCAACTTTTTATTACTATTTATTTTTTGCATCAGGTACCTAAGTTTTGTGTTTTGTTAGTTAATTAGTGTTGGTATTGCTTTTGTCCTCTTCATGAAAAAACGAGTGAAAAAATTAAGGGAAATATTCCTCCAATTTGAACTTTATTATATAAAAAAACCATAGCTAACTAATAAAATTAAATGATTTAGTGATTTTGGAGCATTTTTGAAGATTTCATATCCAAACATATATGTCAATTTGGAGGAAAAAACATATTCAGTGAGCTTATAAAATATAGGGTGTTTCATTTGCAAAATCATAAGTTTGAGTTGTATCTCCAAAACCATACATTGATAAAAAAAATGAGCGTATCACTGGATTTTTCGTAAAATTATCTATGGGATGAGATTTTAATTTGACATTTTTGTTGAGAAACTTCGTAGATATAGAAGGGGGCCAAAAAGTATAAATTTTCAAAATCGCCCTGTATCTCATAAACGAAAACAGTTATGCAAAATCTGATTAGGCAATTTTGAGTTTCACAAAAAAGTCGCACAGGATCGCGAAAACCGCAAGATTCTATCTTCAAAGATAACTGAGATATCAGGCAAAAGCACTGAAAACTGGACACACTGTACATAATTATATACCTGAAAATCACGAGTCCAAGAATTTACTATTCAGCAGTATTCTAAATATTCCATTCACCAAAGAGTATATCGGGTGTATATCATTTTCCACAACCTTCCGCTGCCCGTATTGTTGAATAACCTTAGATATCTCATTCATCATTACTGACGGCCAAACTACCGCCATTATTTGCACGAAGTCCGCCAACCGAAGTCTCACTTCAAAAGTAACTCACTTTCTATACGAAAAACACATCTCCCCGCATGAAACACAACGGCAAAGAAAAGGTGATTTCGAAGTAAATAGTAGACTTCATTTTTTCAAAAACTCTAGGTTAGGTTTAGAGGTTTTCAATTCAACTCAGGGCTACACAGGTCGAAGCATGTGGCATTCAAATGTCATGATTCAAATGTTTGAATGATTCCCATTCAGAAAGGAAGATCAATTAGGTATTGACAATAATAAATTATATAATCTTCGGCAACCATTTTGTACAAAAATTAATCATTATAGGTATGACAATGCGTACAAAATAATTTCGAATTGTTCTGTACTCTCACGGAAGATGTGCTTTTCTCAATGGGACTTGAATCCGGTAGATACGGTGGACGGATGGCGGACGAAAAATATTGTTTGCTGTGAGGTTTTATTTTTTTTATTTTTGGGCTGACCATACTTTGATGTTCGTTCATTTTTTCCAGTAACTCACGACTGCAGTGTAACACTAATGCGACACTAACTGAAATGGATGTCGATGTGCTTGGTTTCATTAACCTGGGGTGTGTTACAGTGCAGCCGGTGGTGGAGGTGTAGATGGTAATGGTAACTGATGGATCTATCAAAGTAGTCCCAGAGACTTGTTCAGAGATCCCGACCAATGCATTGTTCACCCATCATGGTTCACCCCAGTGAGGTAGTCTGATCACAAGGCTGAATTAACGAATGCATATTGTATTAATATGAATGAGGAGAAACATAATTCTATTTTTTGTTGTTGAGTTCTGAGCTCCAAACAATTTAGCCCCATATATCCCATTGATCAGAATTACCAGTAGTTTTAATCAATCAGGCTGTAGACCACGAGTTCCGAGCTCCAGAACACATATTCTCCAAACTGGTACATTCTTCTTGGACTGTTGCTCCAATATCACTTCAGTTTAAGCCAGGACTACAGCATTGATACAAGTAATCCGTTAGGCAATAATCATGAATCGAAAGATCAGAGTTTGCCTGATCAAACAGTCAATCAGACTGACATCTATAGAACTGGCTAAACTTCTTGGTGTTCTGCAAGTTTTGGATCGTTTTTATTTCTAAAGAAGAGATGAAATAATTTCCTTTTTTCAGCTCAATTGATTGTGTCTCCATTTTTCATCTTTGACAGGGTGAGTGTTCGTGGGATCTCTCTTAGATGGTCGGACCAGAATGCCAAATTCTAATTGCCAGAGCAAATTCGCTCCTCTATCTCATCTACTCTCAATGTAGCCCCAGACAATTTGACTCTATTCGCTCTCTTGATTTGGGTTACTACTCGGGTTACTAGTAGTTTTCATCAATCAGCCTTCATACCATGGGCTTGAGCTGAGGATATTTATTCTTCAAGCTGTCACATTCTTCTTCAACTTTTGTTTCCAATATGGGTTGAATATGCCAGTGGTGCAAGTTAAACAAAAATTATCAGTAGGGATGGTAGGAATCACCATACAGCAAAAAATAGAAGTTGGCCTCATACACAGTCAAGCTCTTCTCTATCTTTGACATGACTGAGTGTTTGATCCAGGAGTACTACCATTAATATGGACTGGGGTAAGTGGGAGTGAACAATGTATTGGTTATGAACACTAAATTTTTGTATTTGAGAGTTACCATCACTAAATATAGTTGCGAGTGAGCTGTTTGTGTGCTTGACCGACTGCGTGGTTTTTAATACGCGGTTCGCGGTTTTTTAGGTAGCTGATGCGTAGATTTTTTTATGACACACTATAGTTATTTCTCTAATAGCACATTGTCACACTATGAAATCTTCATTACTAACTCGGTGTAAACTACCTGAACTGAAATGTGGGATTGTTTTGCTTAGGGAGATAATAGGAGTGTATTGTACCAGACGTTGAATATTATACCATATATACCGTGATGTATATGAATAAATGGAGAACATTATACAGGGTGACATTTTGAATACTTTCCGCCTTCAATATCTTCCTTCCAGTAAATGATATGGAAAATCGAAAAGACGAGTCAATTTTCTTTTCAAGGGGGACACTTAGAATGGGTTACATCCCTCTTGGTTCAACTCCCTAGGAGAATAGATGTTACCCTTAGCATATATGGTAGGGGGGGTCAAATGGTACATCATTTTGAAGGGCGTACAATTCTCTTGCCAAAGGTATCCTAGTCTATCATTTTCTGTTGAGCGGTTTCCGAAAAATGCCGTGTCAATTAGAAAACTTCCCACCCTAATATCTTCATTTTAGTGAATAATATGAAAAATCGAAAAGATAGGTCAATTTTGTTTTCAAGGGAGATAATTCAAATGCTTATTTTTAGCCCTCTTGGTTCAACCTTCTAGGAGGGGTAGATGTTACTCTTAGAACCTCATATGAACATCATTTTGAAGGGCGTTCAATTCTTTTTCAACAGTACCCTAGTTCATCATTTTTAGATGACCGGTTTCCGGAAAATTCCGTTCTGAACTTACAGAATCTGATTCATTTATCCGAAATACTCGCCGAAATACTAACCTGAAAACCATGCATCTCGGT